CTGCCCCTCGAGCCGCGCGTACTGCCTGCCGCGTGGGGCGCGGGGCGGACGGCAGAACTTGGCGCCCCGTGGCGGCACCCTACCCGCGCGGGCTGGATTCTGAAGAGCCCGACCTCGGCCAATAATTATAGGGCGACGAGATCTATACATATCCACTGCTCCTGGCCAGGCCAATCCTGGGCCCAGGAGCGGTGTATACGCCCTCCTGGCCTGGCCAGGGAGGCGTATACACAGCTCCTGGGCCCAGGATGGGCCTGGCCAGGAGCAGTGGATATGTATAGATCTCGTCGCCCTATAATTATCCTGGCGAAGGACCCAACCATAAGCAATTGTTCGTAGCGCGTTGTGGGTGCCGCTCACGGTGCTCCCCATGGGGCCACGGAGCGCTGCCTTGGGTGTGGGAGCGCTGTCTGTTCAAAACGAGGACCCAGCACCACACGATGGTTGGGAAAAACATCCTCCAGGCACGCGCGCCCCCTTCTTGGAACACGCCAGAAGCCATGACAATGTTGCCATGGCTTCCAGCGTACTCCAAGGAGGTCCGAGAGCCGTCGAGGTCCTTCCAAGGCGGCCCCAAAAAATTGCCACGGAGCCTCCCGAGGATGTCTCCGGGAGGCAGCAGCCCTTCGAGAACCTTAAAGGAAAGTAGAATATATAACAAGGGATACGTCGACCCCTATCCCAGGCTTCGTGGGGTTTCCGAATGGACCAGAAATTTGGGGCCCAACCCTGGGATATACGATGGGGGGGTGCCCATCCTCGATAGGGGTGCGTCCGAATAGCCCCCTTGGGGTGTATCCCAGGGTTTTTCCATTTTTCTGAGCGGCCAAACTTTTTGGGCGAAACTCGGGGATTGGGGGAGAAACATCGCCTGCGAATATATAGTGCTGCAGGTTGGCCTTTTCGCTTCCCGTGGTCTTCTGGGGCCTCCAGGCAGCTCCGAGGCGGCCCAAGAGAGCCCCACGGAAAAAAAAACCCGGCGGCACGAGCCGAGCGCGCAGGTCCTGCCGGCGGCCTGCCCGCGAGGGGCGCTGCGCTGGGGCCGCAGCCCGTTCGGTAGCCGACGAGCTGGTCGGCAGAATTCGGCAGGCCACCGAAAAGTTAGTCCAAGAAGAGGGCCACACGCGAACCCTACACCCTGCGAAATGCTTAAGAAATCATGGGTTAAGAAATTCATAGTCTCAGAACTTGAGTAGAAGCCCAGAATTTCCATCGAAATCTTAGGATGTACATGGAAACATTAAGAATAATCGAGACTCTGGCCGAAAACTTAAGTTTTCTTAAGCATCGCCTAAGGTGTACCCTTGCCCCCCACGATTTCTGAGGGGGAGGGTGGGGTTCGCTTCGCTCAGAACTCGTGGGGGGGCAGGGGTAGGGTTTTTGCATGCGGCCCCCGATTCAAGAAGAGATGGAATAGCGTCTGCCCATCCACGTCGGGGTCGCCTTTGAGATCTCGAGCAATTTGCCGTGTTCTCCGGTTCCCACTCTACTCCGGCCCAAGAGCACCCAAGCATCCCCCAGGAGCGCCGCAAGTGAGCCCCAAGGGGGCCCCAAGGGGTTACGTTTCAGGCTCGGGAGGGGGGCAAGATTGTTAGAAGGCCACCCCTTCGCTCAGAGCGAAGATCATTGAAAAGCAATTGGTGTTCAGTGGTGCTGTCGTCTCGGGGGCGTCGCTTGGGAGGCTTGTTGGCCAGCATGGCTCCGATGTGGCTCCAGCATGGCACAGGATGGTCCAGGATGTTTCGAGATGCCTTCCAAGATGCCCCTCGTGGTCACATGGACCGCCCCAAGACGGCTGCCGTCCATCGATGTATGGGTTTCCCACGACTTGGTCAGTGCCAATAGCGAATGATGGGACACCCGAGGTCGCAGGGCGTCAGACGCGAGTCCCACGACGTCCGAAACAACTCTTCCTGGAATTATGGGGAACCCATCGGTCGCCAGAATCACCCAGGGAATATGGCGACCGATGTGCTTCCCAGAGTTGTCCCCGCCGAAAGACTGGAAACCCATCGGTCGCCAGAAACCCAATCGGGAATTTGGCGACCGATGGGTTGCCCAGAACTGTCCCCGCCGAGTTATGGGAAGCCTATCGGTCGCCAGAAACCCAATAGTGAATATAGCGACCTATGGGTTTCCCAGCATTGCCCCAACCCAACTATGGGAAACCCACAGGTCGCCATAAACCCCATAGAGAATATGGCGACCGATGGGCTTCCCTAAGTTTCGTCCCTGCCGAGCCATGGGAAACACACATAGGCCGCCAGAACCCATTAGGGAGCCTGCCGATCGACGGGTCTCCCAGAACCGTCCCCGACGACTTGTGAGAAACCCGTAGGTCGCCAGAAACCCATCGAACGTATGGCGACCGATGGTTTTCCCAGAACTGTACCCCGCCGAGCTATGGGAAACCCATGGGTCACTGGAAACCCCATCGGGAACCCATGGGTTTCCCAGAGCAGCCCCCGCCGAAGTATGCGAAACCGAAGGGCCGCCAGAAGCCCTTTTGGGGAATCTGGCGACCCATGGGTTTCCCAGAGTTGTCCCCGCCGAATTATGGGAAACCCAGAGGCCGCCAAGAACCCCGAGGGAATATGGCGACAGATGGGTTCCCCAGCAATGTCCCAGCCGAATTGTTGGAAACCCATCGGTCGCCAGAAACCCCTAGGGAATCTGGCGACCTATGGGTGGACCAGAATTGCCCCCGCCGAATTTTGGGAAACACATGGGTCGCCAAAAAAAACGAAACACATTGGGAATCTGGCGACATATGGATTTCCCAGAATTGCAATTGCCCCCGCCGGATCATGGGGAACCCATAGGTCGCCAGAAGCCCAATAGGGAATATGGCGACATATGGGTTTCCCAAAATGTTTCCCTGCCGAAGCATGGGGAACCCACAGGTCGCAAGAAACCCCATCGGGAATATGGCGACCTCTGGGTTGCCCAGAATTGTCACCGCCGAAACATGGGAAACCCATCGGCCGCCAGAAATCCCAAAGGAAACTGTCGACCTATGGCTGGTCCAGAACTGTTCCCGCCGAAGCATGGGAAACCCATAGGTCGCCAGAAACCCATAGGGAATTTGGCGACCTATGGATTGCCCAGGATTGCACCCGCCGAATTATGGGAAACACATCGATCGCCAGAACCCCCTCGGGAATCTGGCGACCCATGGGTTTCCCAGAATTGCCCCCGCCGGATTATAGGTAACCCATCGGTCGCCAGAATCCCCGAGGGAATCTGGCGACATATAGGTTTCCCAGGATTGTCCCCGCCGAATTATGGGAAACCCATCGGTCGCCATCACACCCTAGGGAATCTGACAACAGATCTGTTTCCCAACATTGCCACCGCCGAATGATGGGAAGCCCTCGCCACAAACCCCTAGGGAATATGGCGACCTATGTGTTTCCCCGAATTGTCCCCGTCGAGTGAAGGGAAACCCACAGGGCGCGAGTAAACCCAAGGGAATCTGGTGACCGATGGGTTTCCCAGAATTGTCCCCGCCGAGGGCCGAATTATGGGGCACCCATCGGTCGCCAAAACCCCCCAGGGAATATGGCGACCTATGTGTTTCCCAGAATTGTCACAGCCGAAATATGGGAAACCCATGGGTCGCCAGAAACCCTTCGGGAATCTGGCGGCTTGTGGTTCCCAAACTTATCCGCCGAATTATGGAAACCATACGTCGTCAGAAACCACCTTGGGAATACGGCGACCGACGGGATCCCCAGACTTGTTTCCGCCAAACTTTGGCAAAGCGATAAGTCGCCAGAAACCCCCGAGGAATCTGGCAACCGATGGGTGTCCCAGAACTGCCACGGCCGGGTTATGGGAAACCCGTGGGCCAAAAGAAACCCCCAGGGAATCTGGCGACCTATGGCTTTCCCAGAACTGTTCCCGCCGAATCATGGGGAACCCATACGTCGCAGAAAAACCCACCGGGAATCTGGCGACCTATTGGGTTTCCGTCAAAAATGTCCCTCCTATTGGGTTTCCCTCGAAATCTTCCGCGAATCCAATTTCCCATGTGTGCAAAACCAATGAGTCCATGCCTTTTCCTGGAAGTGTACATAAAACACAATGAACATCCCTGACCCAGGGGACATGGGATCCGCGGGGCACCGCACGTGAAACGTCATGCGATCCACGGGCCTATGGATCTGCGAACCGAAGCTATGATTATACGGGGGAGAGGGTCTTCACAGGCCGGAGAGGGGAAGGATGAGGGAAGAGGCACGAAGCCGAAGAGAACGCGACATGTATCCGCTCACTTGAAGGGCATGTCGCCTCCGACATTTGGGGCTCCAGGGGACGATTTTTCGGCCTGCGTAAGAGGGATTTCGAACTGCGTCTCTCCCACTATCACCATGCACTCTTTCGCACATGTCTGGCGCGGGGTGCCGAATCCTTCAGCGGGACTTCGGACTGCATTGCCCCACCTACCACCACGCACTCTTTCGCAAATGTTTCGCGCGGGGTACCGAATCCTTCGCCGGGATTTCGATATGCGTCTCCCCCACCAACACCACGCGCTCGTTCCAAAATGTCTGGCGCGGGGTGCCGAATCCTTCTGCGGGATTTCGAACTGCGTCTCTGCTACCAACACCATGCGCTCGTTAGCACATGTCTGGCGCGGGGTGCCTAATCCTTCATCCCCAGGCCGAGCGATTTTTCCTCCTGGACTAAAATATGGAAACACCGAAAAATCCACTTGGACTTTTTTCGGGTGTGCGACAGTGTCGTGGATCCTCGATAGGTCTTGCGCGGATCCCATGTCCCGTGCGTGAAGCAAAAACATGTATCCGTTGAACTAGATATACGATGATAATTAACATCCCGGACCCAGGGGACATGGGATCCGCGGGGCACCGCACGTGAAACGTCATGCGATCCACGGGCCTATGGATCTGCGAACCGAAGCTATGATTCTACGGGGGAGAGGGTCTTCACAGGCCGGAGAGGGGAAGGATGAGGGAAGAGGCACGAAGCCGAAGAGAACGCGACATGTATCCGCTCACT